AACTAATCTGCTATGTAAACTTTCATTTAATGCACAATAAAAAAAGGAAGAAAAAAAGTAATTAGGAAACGAAAATGCTACAACTTTTTATAGTGTAATCATTATGTTGGATTTTCCTTTTTCAGAATATTCACATATTAATATTAAAGGATTTGATTACATTGTCAAGAATCCTTTGAGGTCAGTATTTTCTTCTTATAATTCCCCACTCAGTAATACCCAGAATTTCCAGGTGCCTGGGGGGCCTACAAGGAGCCCTGGTCGCACAGTGATTAAAGCTCAACAGCTAACCAAAAGGTCGGCAGTTTGAACCCACCAGCCGCTCCACGGGACAAAGATGTGGCAGTCGGCTTCCATAAAGATTTGCAGCCTTGGAAACCCTATGGGGCAGTTCTACACTGTCCTATAGGGTTGCTGTGAGTTGGAATCAACTCGATGACAGTCGGTTTGGGTTTTGGGTGAGGGCCTACAATTAAAAGTACCAAACTGATTTTTTTTTTTCTTTTTTGCTATAGTCATCCATTTGAAGCTGAGGCTGACCTCTTGTCATGAAACTCATATTGGTTAACAACATAAATTCTAAATGAATAATATCTATATCAATTCACTTTCATAACATGTTATAACCTCAGTCATACTACTAAGCCCTATTAAAGCTAATTACTTCAATATTTTCCTTAGTCAATTCATTAAAAAAAATTAGTATGCAATTTTCCATTAAAAAGACAGTAAGTCCTAGATTTATGAGACTATGACAAGCTTTAGAAGGAAAAAGACTGAGAAGAAGAACTCCCAAGAAACAAATACGGCAGGTTTCATTCCTCTGATAATCTAGTACTACAAAATAAAATCCATCTGCCTTCTAAGATTTCAGCACAATAAAAAATAAAAATTTTAAATATTTACATATCTAGTATAAAATACAGTAAGTAATACAATTCTGAAATTCTTCTAAACATGGAAATTTTATTCCTTGATGTTTTATAACTCATTGATTTTACTTCCTAAAAATGTTTCATTTCAGGCAGACACATCTTTTTTTTTATTGTTGTAATTAAATAAAGTTTACATTTCAAGTTAGTCTCCCATAAAAAAATTTTTTTTTACATACATTGTTATGAGACCCCAACAGCTCACCCCATTCTGCGACAGCACACTCCTCCCCTCCACCCCTGACTCTCCACGAACATTCAACCAGCTCCTAACTCTCTCTGCCTTCCCATCTCACCTCTGGACAGAAGCTGCCCCTTTGGTCTCTTGTATCTACTTGATGAAGAGGCACATTCTTCACAAGTATCACTTTATGTCCCACAGTCCAGTCCAATCCCTGTCTGAAGAGTTGGCCTTGGAAATTATTTTAGTTCTGGGCTGATAGAGAGTCCCGGGGCCAGGCTTTCCAGGGCACCTCCAGCCTCAGTCAGAACATTAAGTCTGGTCTTCTTACTAGAATTTGAGTTCTGCATCCCATCCTTCTACTGCTCCATCAGGGACCCTCTGTTGTGTTTCCTGTCAGGATGTTCATTGGTGGTAGCCAGGCACCATCTAGTTCTGATCTCAAGCTGATGAAGTCTCTGGTTTATGTGGCCCATTCTGTCTCTTGGGCTAATACTTTCCTTGCGTCTTTGGTGTTCTTCGTTCTTCTTTACTCCAGGTGGTTGGGACCAACTGATGCATCTTAGATGGCCACTTGCAAGCTTTTAAGACCTCAGACAACACTCACCAAAGTAGGATGCAGAACATTTTCTTAATAAGCTTTGTTATGCCAATTGACCTAGATGGCCCCTAAAAGCATGGTCCCCAGAACCGCCATCCCTGCTACTCTGTCTCTCAAAGTATTTGATTGTTTTCAGGAAACTTCTTAGCTTTGGTTTAGTCCAGTTGTGCTGGCTTCCCCTGTAGTGTGTGCTGTCCTTCCCTTCACCTAAAATGATTCTTATCTACTATCTAGTTAGTGAATAACCCTCATCCTCCCTCCCCAGCCCCGTAACCATCAAAGAATGTTTTCTTCTGTTTAAACCTTTTCTTGAGTTCTTATAATAGTGGTCTTATACAGTATTTGTTCTTCTGTGACTGACTAAATTCACTCAGTATCGTAAGTTCCAGCTTCCACCATGTTATACGATCTTTCACAGCTTCATTGTTGTTATCGTTGCATAATATTCCACTGTGTGGATATGCCATAATTTGTTTATCCATTCATCCGTTGATGGGCACCTAGGTTGCTTCCACCTTTTTGCTATCGTGAACAGTGCTGCAATGAACATGGGTGTGCATATATCTATTCCTGTGACGGCTCTTGTTTCTCTAGGATATATTCCAAGGAGCGGGATAACCGGATGGAATGGTACTTCTATTTCTAGCTTTTTAAGGAAGCGCCAAATAGATTTCCGAAGTGGTTGTACCATTTTACATTCCCACCAACAGTGTATAAGTGTTCCAGTCTCTCCACAGCCTCTCCAGCATTTACTATTTTGTGTTTTTTGGATTAAGGCTAGCCTTGTTGGGGTGAGATGATATCTCATTGTAGTTTTGATCTGCATTTCTCTAATGGTTAAAGATCGTGAGCATTTCCTCATATGTCTGTTAGCTGCCTGAATAGCTTCTTTGGTGAAGTGCCCGTTCATATCCTTTGCCCATTTTTAATGGGGTTGTCTTTTTGTTGTTGAGGTTTTGCAGTATCTTGTAGATTTTAGAGATTAAATGCTGATCAGATTTGTTATAGCCAAAAATTTTTTCCCAGTCGGTAGGCTGTCTTTTTACTCTTTTGGTGAAGTCTTTTGATGAGCAGAAGTGTTTGATTTTTAGGAGCTCCCATGTATCCAGTCTCTCTTCTGATGCTTGTGCATTGTTACTTATGGTCTGTATTGTGTTTATGCCATGTATTAGGGATCCTAGCATTGTCCCTGTTTTTTCTTCCATGATGTTTATCATTTTCAATTTTATATTTAAGTCTTTGATCCATTTTGAGTTAGTTTTTGTACATGGTGTGAGGTATGGGTCTT